CGGCGCGCGGCTGGGACGGGTGGCGCACGGGCGGCGTGGGGGGCCGGGACGGCGGCGTGCGGCTGGGACGGGTGGCGCACGGGCGGCGAGGGGCCGGGACGACAGCGCAGAGCCGGGACGGGCGGCGTACGGGCGGCGTGGGGCTGGTACGGGCGGTGCGCTGGCGTCTAGGGGCCGGGACGGGCGGCGCTCGAGGCGTCTAGGGGCCGGGACGGGCGGCGCGCGGACGTCTAGAGGCCGGGACGGGCGGCGCGCTGGCGTCAAGGGGCCGGGACGGGCGGCGCACTGGCGTCTAGGGGCCGGGACGGGCGGCGCGTGGGCGTCTAGGGGCCGGGACGGGCGGCGCGCGGGCGTCTAGGGGCCGGGACGGGCGGCGCGCGGGCGTCTTGGGGCCGGGACGGGCGGCGCGCGGGCGTCTAGGGGCCGGGACGGGCGGCGCGCGGGCGTCTAGGGGCCGGGACGGGAGGCGCGCGGGCGTCTAGGGGCCGGGACGGGCGGCGCGCGGGCGTCTAGGGGCCGGGACGGGCGGCGCGCGGGCGTATAGGGGCCGGGACGGGCGGCGCGCGGGCGTCTAGGGGCCGGGACGGGCGGCGCGCGGGCGTCTAGGGGCCGGGACGGGCGGCGCGCAGGCGTTTAGGGGCCAGGACGGGCGGCGCGCGGGCGTCTAGGGGCCGGGACGGGCGGCGCGCGGGCGTCTAAGGGTAGGGACGGGCGGCGCGCGGGCGTCTAAGGGCCGGGACGGGCGCTAAAGGGGCCACTAGGGGCCGAGAGAGAGGGGAGCGCGACTCGGGGAGGGGCAGAGTGCGCTCCGGGTAGGAAAAATAGACGGTGGGCCCTAGGAACAGTTCCCACGAGGGAACCTGCTCGATACCATGAGAAAAGTAGAACGAGAATGAATGAACTATGAATGAAGTCAGTACATATAGGAAACCCTAATTGGGTTGTACCCCCTATGGGATACCCCACTATAGCCTACACAACAGCATAAGCTATATAATGTTCTGACAGAGTGTTGTATCCTCGGGATAGACTGCTTCATCACCCGCTTCGGGTGCAGGGCTGAAATTTGGTCCTACGCGTTCTGCTTCGTTGGTGTTGACTTGTGCAGGTGTAACGTAACCATTGTCGGCGAAGTGGTACTAGACTTCGGCGTTGATGCTGTCGCGTGGATTTTCGTCGTCCATCGGGACATTGACCGAACAGTAGGGAAGAGGTCTGGCTTCCTGTGAGGCTCCTTCCACGTTCTGCTCGTTCCAGTCAGCTTCATCTTCCGCCGAGGCGAAGGCTCGGGTGCCAAGAAATCCGCCCGAGAGGTCTGGGTTGTTTTTTGCCACGTTGGCAAGGTATGTCTGGAGGGTGAGGTTCTCGTAGAAGATGACATCACGTGCTGAACTGCTTCCTTTGTGCCGACGTCAAAAATCTTCCATGCGTTGTAGTGCTTTTCAATGCCCAAGTGTAGTCCCCACTGTGCACGCTGAGAGAATCGGCCGGCTCGTGCAGATGGGGGTCGGTACTGTACCATGCAGCCGAAAACTCGTAACATTTTTGTGCTGCCCAGTTTTACTGTCCACAGCAGATGCGGTGATGCGTTGTTCGGGAGCGATGATGACGAGAGCAAGTTGTGCAGCGTCACAGCGTGGTCCATTGCCTCGGGCCACTGGTGGTTGGGTAAGTGCTTGCCACGTAACAGCTTGCGCATGGTGTTCTGGAGGGTCCTGTTCATTCTTTCTGCTACGCCTTGCTGTTGATGGGCGTAGGGAACGTAGATGAGCCGCTTGATCCCCCTCTCTGCCAGGTGCTGCTTGAACCTCTATGAGGTGTATTCTCCTCCTCCGTCTGATTGGAAGCTCTTTAGTTTCACGCCTGATTCTCGTTCTGCTACTGGGAGCCAAGCAACGAAAGCCTCGAAAGCCATGTCCTTGTTCGGAAGGTTGAGGTGCCAAACATAACGTGTGGCGGCATCGATGAACGTGATGGTGTAGTTGTACGCTCCTTGTCCAGGTTCGCGGCTGTACAGAATGTCGCTGTACGCTTTTCAAGTGGTGCGTAAGCTGGTGCGCTCGGGTTGTGGTGATAAGCAAACGGCTGATGTGGTAAGTCAGCTTCGGGACAGGTGAAGCATGTTCCGCGAACTCGTTGAAGTTCTCTGCCGTCAGTTAGGAGTAGGGAATCTTTGTTGAGCACGCCTGCTCTTATTGTGTTATTTAACACCGTGTTGCTTGGATGTCCCATTCTTGCGTGCCATGTTCCTTCGGTGGCGCGGTGTCCGGGTGAGCGCCGATATAGGTCGGAGTTGGAGTAGAAGCTGGCAGTGAAGTTGGCGCTTCGATGGACTTCCCGTTGAGTTGGATTCAGTTGCTGCGCAGGAGTCGGTGGAGTGTCGTCGATGAAGATCGGTGCCATTGAAGGACCAGCGATTGGTGTTGATGTTGTTGCTACTGTTACCGTTGTCTCTGCTGCTGCCGATGTTGTCTCTGCTGCTGCCGATGCTGTCTCTGCTGCTGCGGATGTTGTCCCTGCTGCTGCGGATGTTGTCTCTGCTGCTGCCGAATGTTGAATCGTCGCTAATGCTCTTGTTCGTTCTGCCTCAGGGATGGTGTGCGAGTACCAGAAACCTTCAGGGTTGAAGTCAGGATCGAGGTCTGGTGGGCGCATCTAGGAGGTGAAGTTGACGATGGCGTCACTGTCGGCGGTGCCTAGATCTGGGACAAAGTCGAGGACAAACACGTTGTTCTTCAGTACTGCCTTGCCGATGTAAAGACCTCCTCTTTTGTTGTACAACTTGAACTCTTGTGTTGTGCTGTCTGCTTCGAGGTGGATCCCTTTTGCCATCAGTTGCCTGACGCTTAGTAAGTTGTAGCCGAGTCCCTCCGCGATTAAAACCTTTGTCATTTGCAGTATGACGTTTGTCTCTTGTGACTGAAGTTGCACTATGCCTTGTCGTCGTGTGCGGAGGTTTTGATTGTTGGCGACGGTGATGACGACTTCGCGCTGAAGTTGGTGTTCTCTTTGAACGAAACGACTTGAGGAGCACATGTGTTGTCCGCAGCAACTGTCCAAGAACCAAGTGTCTTTCCCGGACGGCTCACTCTGGGCGATGGCTGCGTATGTCGGGTTCGGCTCCAGTGTTTCACGGCAAGGAGTACCCTCATCGAGCAATTCTTCTTGTGAGTAGTGTGGTGGTGACTCGGTGATGTGGGAGTCCGACAGTCTCGCCATACAGCTTACAATGTTTCTTGGTCCTTGTGCAGGTTTTGAAGTCTGCGTCTGATTCGCGGGATGCGCCTGTGTGGATGCCACTTGGCTGCTTGAAGGACGAAGTTGACGTTGTGGTGTCGTTGACTGTCGCAAACTCGGACAGTGTGTACGGGGGTGTCCAGATGTCTTGCAGAGGTGACAGAATGGTGGTACGTGCTGCTGCTGTTGTTGCTTATTCTGTCGGTTCGAGTTGTTGAAGCGCCGTTGAGTGTGGAATGCGAACTCAGGTACTGATGTCTTCCTCTTGTGTCGTTCCTCGTGCAGGTCCATGTCTTGCTGTTCGGCGTGAATTTCGGCGCAGAGTGCCGCTTTGGAGATCTTCCCGTGAGCTTGGAGAATAGCTCGAGTGGAGCGCCAATGACGACTGTGACAAAGGCTTCTTCGGAGATTGACCCTCCGCATCGAAGGAGTTTGTCGCGTAGTTCGCGGTAGCGGCTGATATACGCCTTTCCCTTTTTGCCTGGTCTCATTTCGACTGTTGTTAACTGTGCCATTAGTCAACCCTGGTTGACGCTGTCCGTTGCTTGATACAGGTTCTTCATGTGGTTGTACGCGAGCTCAGCAGAGTTGCCATATCCCCGATAAGAGCGAATATTCTGCTGCTGGCAGCGGACGGTGCAGCAGCAGCAGCAGCAGCAGGAGGGGGAGGAGAGGGGGGAGCAGCAGCACTGTCAGATGCTTGGCGGAACCGCATCCTGGAGAAGGTGTGATGGGGATGGGGGAATGGGGGATGGGGAAATTGGGGATGGGGAGATGGGGAATGGGGAAATGAGGGGAAGGGGAGATGGCCTGGGGCACGGCAGGTGGAAGGCAACATCCTGGGAGGCCATCTGAGGCCACCTGAGGCCACCTGAGACCACCTGAAGGGTGTATGGGCTGGCTGCAAGCGCTGCTGTACGGGGCTGAGGCCATCACACGGATGCCCTTTATCGCTGGATGTGCCTGCCCCTCACTCTCTCACTCACCTGCTACCCCACCCCCATCGCCCCCGCCCTTCCTCCATCCCTTCCCCTGTCACCATCCCTCCCACCCCCCGCTTCACGCCCCCCCCCCCCCCCCCCCCCCCCACCCAGTACGGGCTGGACACCAGTGAGTTCCACCACCCCGTCAACGCTACCACATTGCCCGGGCTGTAGCGACAGATTTTCCCGCCTCTGCTTTTGCCTCTCGCCCTCTCACCCACCTGCCACCATCCCCCCCTTCTTCCCTCCCCTCCTCCCCTCCCTCCCCACCAGTACGGGCTGGACACGAACGAGTTCCACCACCCCGTCAACGTGCCCCACGCACCACCCATGCCCCCGCAGCCCCCCCCTTCATCCTCCGCCTGTGCCCTCATGTGATGTGCGCCTGTGCCCTTGCGTGATGTGCGCCTGTGCCCTCATGTGATGTGCGCCTGTGCCCTCATGTGATGTGCGCCTGTGCCCTCATGTGATGTGCGCCTGTGCCCTCATGTGATGTGCGCCTGTGCCCTTATGTGATGTGCCCCTGTGCCCTCATGTGATGTGCGCTTGTGCCCTCATGTGATGTGCACCTGTGCCCTCATGTGATGTGCGCCTGTGCCCTCATGTGATGTGCGCCTGTGCCCTTGTATGATGTGCGGCTGTGCCCTTGTATGCCCCTTCCCAACCCAACTTAGATGAGTGTACGCTACTCCCTTCCCCAGCAGGCGCACATCACATGAGGGCACAGGCGCACATCACATGAGGGCACAGGCGCACATCACATGAGGGCACAGGCGCACATCACATGAGGGCACAGGCGCACATCACATCACAGGCTGCTGCTCCCCCCTCTCCTCCCCCTCCTGCTGCTGCTGCTGCTGCTGCTGCACCGTCCGCTGCTCCCCCCACACCCACGCCACTCGCACCACTCCCACCCGCAGCACCAGCAGCAGCAGCGTCAGCAGAGGACGAGGGGATGGCGGTGGAGTAGGGGGGAGGGGGCGCCATGTGGGGCGGGCGGAGGAGCGGCTGGCGCAGGCGCGAGTTGGGGTGGGGGTGGGGGGGGATGTAGTCGTCGTTGTCCGCCAGTGCAGCATCGCTGTGCATGGCCCTCAGCATCATCGCCAGCAGCAGCGCCCTGCCCTGATGGGGCACAATGAGGAGAGTGGAGGGCGACAGGAGGGGTGGTTGGGGGCGAGGAGAAGGGGGTTGCAAAGATGGCAGCAACAGGGCAGCAGCAAAGGGTAGGAAGGTTGTGCAGAGGAAGGTTGTGCAGAGGAAGCATGAAGCCCCTTAACAGCGCACCCACGCTACACGCGGAAGAAGGCGTGGTAGGAGGTGGGTCAGCGCACCCACGCTACACGCGGAAGAAGGCGTGGTAGGAGGTGGGTCAGCGCACCCACGCTACACGCGGAAGAAGGCGTGGTAGGAGGTGGGTCAGCGCACCCACGCTACACGCGGAAGAAGGCGTGGTAGGAGGTGGGTCAGCGCACCCACGCTACACGCGGAAGAAGGCGTGGTAGGAGGTGGGTCGCTTCATTGGGAGGCGAGCTCTCACAAGGGAAGAAAAGCTTGCACCTCACTCTCCTCGTTGGCAGTGGCGTGTTGCAGGGGGGGCTAAAGGCGACGCGTACAATCGGATCTGGGCCTTGGGGACAAGGACAAGCACTCAATCTCTCACTCCCGCTTGCGACACTGGGCACACGCACCTCGACGAGAAGCAGGCTGACGGCAGCGAGGCGGCAGAGGTCAAGATTGTGCAGCACGAACGCCCTCTCCCTCTCAAACTCGCCTGTGGGATCCTCCGGCACGTCCTGGTGCACACGAGGGTTGAGGGAGGGGATGGAGCAGGTGAGGAGTGAGAGGGCGGGGAGACGGGCGATATGTAGAGGCGGTGGGGTTGCGTAGGCGACCGGGTGGGTTCGTTACGATCGTATCGTTACGGAGAAGGGAGGCACGTGGCGAGGACGCCAGACAAAAACTAAACTGAACCGAAGCAAAACACGAGACCGCCAGACGAAAACTCAACCGAACTGAACTAAGCAGTCTGACAACAGATTCCTGGGTGGGGGGTGGGGGGGGAGAGGGGGGTCGCGACGGGGCGGGCCGGGACGAACGGGGACGGGACGGGACGGACGGCTCCTAAGGAACTACCTAGCGTGATACCATCTCAGAGTTACACGTGCGGAAAAGTGTGCGACTAGAAATGTGTTGGGGTACAAATGCCTAACCCCAACAACTGTACCCTACATGGCACAACTCACTACTGTCTACCATATTTTGATAGATCCTGGCAGGCAAAGGTTTTTCGTGTCTAGTAGCTCTAGTTGCCTAGCAGTCATGACAATTTCCCATCGCAGGAGGTCCGTGTATTTGCGGGCGTTTGTATTAGCCTTGCAAAAGCGATGGCTGCTTTTTCGCGTATCTTTTGGAGTTCAGTCACAAAGTGTGATCTGGGAACCGGGTTGTCGAGTGCAGTCGTGGTTGGCACCACCGAGTCTATCCCGTAATTCAGGAAGAACGGGGAATGATCAGTCGTGCTGGAAGGGGCGTTGTTGTACGCGAACTCTAGCATGGCGAGCGAATTCTCCCAGCAAGTAGGGTCGGGACGGTTGTCAAACTATTACTATGTTTAGGCTGTGTGGGCTGTAGTGGGGTAGCCCATAAGGGGTACAACCCAATTAGGGTTGGTACTTGTACTATGTTCTTTCTCAATTCAATCATTCTCGTTCAGTATTCTTGACAACAGTACGTACGGATGAGCTGCTCCATCGTCTGATTGGTCTGTTCGGGTTGGCCGTCGGTTTACGGAAGGTAGGCCAGTGAGAACTTTAACTTTGTGCCATAATGCACCCACATCTCCTTCCAAAATTCTGAAGTGGACTTCGGGTCCAGGTCGCTGATGATCACCGACGGGATGCCGTGCAGTTGCACAACGGTTGAGATGAAGAGGCGCGCAGTATCTTCGACTGTGATTATCGTGCAACATGGTGCGAAGTGCGCCATTTTCGTAAGGCGATCGATGACGACGAGCATGGCGTCATTGCTGTGACAAAAAACAAGAAGTGTTGAACTAGAAAGATGTTGGAGTACAAGTAGGAAACCCTAGAGAAGTGTACCCCCTAAAGGCTAACTTACTACAGCCTACACAACAGAAACATATATAATGTTTGACACACCCCCATAGGCTAAGTGGGGGAGAGCAAGGGGTCACAGGACCAGTCAAGAAAGACAAAGCAAGCTCAGGGTGGATCACAACATCACCACACACTCTGAGCACAAGCAAAGGACCACAAGGCTAGTTCACATGCAGAGGCATATATGTAGCACAAGCATCACAGTGATCTATATCTAGCAAGCATGCAGGTATATATATATAGATCACAGTACAAGTAAAGTCTACAACAAGTGAGGAAAAGTGGCCACAAGCCCTAGCAAAGTGCAGAAACGCTGATGATCACCAGACTGAAGTGCCCTGGTGAATATATCAGCAGTGTTGGCCTGAGTGGCCACGTAACGCAGACGAAGCTGACCACGCTGCTGCAACTCTCGAGCCGGAAAGTAACGTAGAGCGATTTGCTTCGTTCCGTGCTCCGGTCTGTGCTCCTCACACAAGGCAATGGCAGCCTTGTTGTCGACGTACCGCACAGGAGGAGAACGAGGCCGCTCTCCCAGGTCAGTCAGCAGGTAGGTGAGCCAGTGTAACTCCTGTGCAGCCATGGCTGTGGCGTAGATCTCAGCCTCACAACTGGAGCTGAGAACTGAAGACGAACACGTAGAACGCCACGAAATTGAGCCAGAGCCAAGGCTGAAGTTGTAACCCTGTGACGACCGCTGAGTAGCCTGGTCGTCAACCCAAGAAGCATCTGAGTGCCCAGTAAGAACAACTGAGCTCCCTCCTCCAAGCACGAGCCCCATGCCCGATGTACTGCACAAGTAGCGCAATACCCTCTTTGCAGCATCCCAGTGATCTGCAAGCCAAGGTAGCTGTGCAGTTCACCCAGGTCTGTGCACGGTGTGTCCCTTCTGCAGCTCTGACTTCACGTGGGCGAGAGCCTCAGTATCACCAGTGGCAAAGACCAAGTCGTCGACGTACACGAGGATGTAGAATGGCGGCAGAGAAGTGTCGTTGCGCAAAAACAGCGACGGGTCAGCAGTAGAAGGTGCGGACCCAAGTGCCCCAAGAGTAGTCCTCAGTGTGTCGTGCCACTCACGTTGCGCCTGGCGGAGACCGTAGACCGGCCGTCGGAGGCTCCACTGGGTACCAGGAGGAAACGACCCAGTGAAGCCAGGAGGGCGGCGCAGCCAGATGTCCTCGTGCAGGCTGCCCTGCAAGAAAGCTGTGCTGAAGTCAAGAGACTGAAGCTCGTAGTCACGCTGAGCAGCAACGTGCAGTAGCACCCGAAGAGTGGTCATCATCGAGGTGGGGGAGAAGGTCTGAAAGAAGTCTACTCCCTCTCGCTGACTGAAGCCTCGAGCAACGTAACGAGCCTTGAAAACAGGCAGAGAACCCGGCGGCCGCTTCACCCTGAAAATCCACATGCCACTGACGATGTTCGCCCCAGGAGGGGGAACCTCGTCGACGTAAGTGCCAGTGGACTTCCAGGATTCCATCTCTGTGTCCATGGCTGACTGCCACTAAGAGGAGTACTCACCCGCGATCGCCTCAGCATAAGAGCGTGGGGTCGGGATGTCTGGAGCATCTGGGTCTACCTCAGGGACAATCAGCATGGACACGAGATGAGGCGCAGCGGCTGCAAGACACTCAAGGTTCTCCTATCTGTCCTCAAGAACGTCCGTGCCTAGAGCACACTCACCCCCGACAGACGGAGGACAGACAGACTCAGACTCAGCAACAAGACTCGCGGCGTAGTCTAGACGAAAGCGATCAGCAAAGTTGACAAGCTCAGCAACTAGGGCAGACGCAGCAGCAGACTCAAAGGAAGGGTCAGTGACAGCAGTGGCCAGGAGACGCGTGACAGTAGGACTGGCAGCACGAAGAGAGTCAGACTTCGGGTCAGCAAGAACAGGAAGAGAGGACTCAGGAGGAGACGGCAGAGGGACACGCAGAGGAGCAGTGGAAGGACGCAGAGTCATATAGTGCGTGCCAGGGACAGGTGGAGGACGCTCACGCGGAACACGGCGACCAGTGCAAGCAACACGAACATGTGATACAAGGACGAGACACAGGCGACACAGGACGAGACTCAAGCTCACGATGCTGTGTAAGACCGCGTGTTGGACCAGTGTAGGGAGAAGGACCAGGAAGTGGTGAGGTAGGCAGTAGCTGTGACTGCGACTGGACAGGCGGAGAACACTCTAAGGAGGGAGGAGGACTAGGAGGAGGCGGCTGACCAAGAACCTGCTAAAGGAGTGGAACGAAGTACGGCCGCGGCCGTGAAGTGCCCCCAGAAGCAGCATAGACAGCACCAGAACCTCCAGCTGAACCAGCACCAGCAACACCTCTAGCAGCTCCAGAACCTCCAGTAGCACCAGTAGCACGAGTAGCACCTCCATCAGCTTCAGGACCTCCAGCAGCACCAGCAGCACCTCCAGCAACTCCAGCACCTCCAGCAGCACCAACACCAGCAACACCTCCAGCAGCTCTAGGACCTCAAGTAGCAGCAGGGCTTCCAGCTAGCGGTACCTCAACACTAGGAGCTCCACTCCGGAGGGTGCAGTGCCGAGCGTACCACTCACGTAGTCGCTGAGGGGAGGGAGGCTCCGGCTGAGACACTGCACCCGCAGGGCCACCCGCCCCGACTCCAGCAGACCCCCCAGCTCCAGTAGCCCCACGACGGAGGCTGTACCACTGAGAGTACCACTCACGCAGCTGCTGTGAAGAGGGAGCGCCAACAGGCGCAATACGGTCAGTCTCAGAACCCCCAGTCTCAGCTCCTCTAGGCTCAGCACCCCCAGACGCAGCACCCCCAGGCTTAGCACCCGCAGTCTCCGCACCCCAAGACTCAGCACCCCCAGTCTCCGCACCCCCAGGCTCAACACCCCTAGTCTCAGCACCCCCAGACCCAGCACCACCAGGCTCAGCACGCGCAGTACCTCGCGCAGGACCAGAGTCAACAGCTACCTCGACAGGCTCGACCGGGTCTACCTGGGAAAAACCTGAGGGAGCAGCACCCTGGGGAGGGAGGAGGTCTACCGACGGGACACCTGGGGTAAGGAAGAGCGGGGGGGGGGGGGGGGGGGTGGGAGAGGGGCAGTGCGGTAGGGGAAGAGACAGTAAAAGGGTACCGACTCGTCAAAGGTGACGTCCTGAGAGGCGAAGACACGGCGCGAGGTGGGGTGGTAAAACTGCCAGCCAGGCGCGTCAGGGACAAAGCCAAGGAAGACACAGGGAATGGCACAGGAGGAGAGCTTGTCCGCGAACGTATCGTGGACAAAGGCTCGACATCCCCAGACTCAGAACACCGACGCATCTCCAACCTCCCCCGTCCAACGCAGGGTAGGCGAGGTCTCCGGAACAGAGACACGGGGCCAGAGGTTGAGCTGATGTGCGGCGTACTGCACTGCAAACGGCCACAGGAAATGGGGGGCAGCCGCATGGATCATGGAGGTACGAGCGACCTCCATGACGAGACCAATGCGGCGCTCAGCAACCCCATTCTGCTGTGGAGAGGCCGGGAGAGTGAACGTCTGGCGGATGCCGTGCTCCGCACAGTAGGCTGCCAAGAGGTCAGAGGAAAACTCGCCACCTCTGTCAGAGTGCAGACGTAGGACAGGAAAGTCCGACTGGAACCGCTCGCGGAGCTGGAGGCGAGCAGCGCGGATCCAGAGGATCAAGACATCAGGGACCTCACCCTTGGTACGCAAGGGGAAGACCGTGGTGTAGCGCGTGTTGTCGTCGACGACCAGCAGAAAGTACCGCTCGTGGCCCTGTCCCCGGACGCGGGCGGGGCCCCACACGTCCAGGTGGAGAGTCTGCAGGGGAGCCTCTGTGGGAGGGAACGAGGAAGAGTGAGGAGCGGCGCGCTGCCGCCCCTCGACACAGGGAAGACAGAGAGGAGCAGGCGAGGGTGGCAGGGGAGGGAGAACCCTGGGAAGACCAGAGACAAGGTACCTGGAGTGCATGCCGCGAAGGCGCTGCACTGAACGGGTGACCAAGGCGGTGGTGCCAGAGGACAGTCGTGTGCGACAGGGAGTGACACGAGCAG